CAGAGGAATGGGAAGAGGTTCACAATAGAAAAGCGTGGACGTTGAAGCACGAGTTTTATAAGCCCACAATGGCAGGTTAAGGCTAATATGTTGGACCTGTCGATTAGGTTCGTTATTTTTTTTTTTTTATAAACTATTTAGTTTTTGCACATAAGCGTGTATAGGAAAAGAAACGGAACACTATAGAAAACTTATTTGATAAATGTTTATCAAACACGACAATTGAAGCCCTTATATGAAAAACGAGATCTAAGCTCCACAATAGTTAATGAATGAATCCAAAACGAAAACTTATCTGAGCCAACACATTTCGTACTCTAATGGATTTTATCATGGCAAATATATTGGCAAATGTCTGATAAAGGGGAAGAAACACATCGGATAAGATACGTTTTCCTCATACATCGAATATGACGGAAGAGTCCACTATATATATATATATATATATATATATATATATATATATATATATAATATTACATGTTTCATTAAATAATATAGACAAGTTTTGTCTGTTTATTTTAAGCAAAATCCTTTCATAACGTCTGATGAATTTAAAAATATTATCATTGAAACACGAAAGAAAATTACCATGTTGATACATGTTTTAGTCTTAATCCTTTCTAAGCTTTCGGTGTGCATAAGCCATCATCGGAGATTAAAGATGATAATTTTGCAACGATGATAATTTGTTTGCATGGAAGATTCCTATGCAACGATAAATTCGTGCATATGAAACGCAGGAAGTTATTATCGCATTGCGGTTAATGACGTCACACTTGGCCACGTGAGAGTGAAAATGAAGAGAAGTGTTAAGTATGGAAAGCTGTTGATATATATATATACACACACGCATACACACACATACACACATATATATATATATATATATATATATGTGTGTGTGTGTGTGTGTGTGTGTGTGTGTGTACTAGCCTTCGGGGAGACTTTAAAATGGCTCCTGCGGAGGGATTTTGAGTCCCCAGGCTTTTACCTTCAGCGTCTTATGTTTGTAAAAGTTCTAATTATAACAAAAATTGTTTCATATCTATTCGACACCTTAATTCGGCATAATTTTTCTTCGTATACACAACCGATCCATGTAGTGTGTTTACATTTATTTTCCGCGCATTTTTTCTTCTTTTAAAATTACCATTCTTCATGTTCCCTTCATATAAATCACTCTTAAAAGACATTAGGAAACTCGAACTATGTAATATTTCGAATACGTCAAAGTATGCGAGTTAGAAAAAACACCTGCCCCGGTTAAGTTTTAAATATGGTTTAATTAGACTATATCAATTGCAACTGCGACTAAAAGTGAAATAAATGTTAAATCTTTATTAAATTTTTTTTTTAAAAACAAAACAAAAAAACTTTCAGTGTGTTCGATATTTAAATTTAACTTTAAACGAGTTAATTATTTAATATTTAATCGCGTATAAATAACTGTTACTTCAGGTTGTTTATGATTCGCCGAGATCGAAAAACGGACGGACGGATACACGTACACTGCGCTTTATTTATAAAGATATGTGATATGATAAAGAACAAATAGGAAATATCTATAAATCTATCGCTTCACTTTTATAAAATCTTCATCAGAGAATGAGATATTTCTTTCTTTCTCTTGCATTCCGATGAAGCGTTAATAAAAGAAAAACATTTTAGATTTATAAACGTTGCATATTTGTCTTTATCATATTCTTCCGGATTCTGATTCATGTTTCACTCAGATTATTTCATTAATTATTTTATAATTCATACGAGTTAGACCAGGCCGTCTTGCTCCATGACTTGTTAACCATAACAGTTCTTTGTTTTGCTCGCACACAATGTCTTCCGAAGCGCATTCTTCTTTTGCATACGGTTGTATACATGTCAGATATGGGTCCATAGAGCTGTAATTTAGTTGGATATTGCTTCCAAGAGAGATATAGCCCTGTCGGCTCTGGCTTCAGAAAAAGCTGACTGCACCTTTGCAGAGGAGTAAGAGCCCACCAATGAGGCGTCCAGAGTAAAACGATAAACTACATCCAACGCCAAGGCCACTTACAAGAAGATTTTGAAGAGCGTTGAACCACCACTTATGTAATGATGTTCCCAGTTGCACCCTGAACAAGGGTGGTAGCACCTGTTAGGGTCTCAGCTATGGGTAAATAGTTAACCCCAAAACTGGGGTCAAAACTCTATGAAAGTGTAAAAATAGGTTTTAATACCAGCAATATATTTTTGTAAAAAATTATTACCAGGCATACATTATTACTAGCAATGTATTTTAAGAAAAATAAATTATAACCAGCAATAAATTTTAAAAAATATTACCAGCTATAAAAATCTTTTCGGCATTAAGTAACTCATTCAGATTGATATGCCCTAAAACAAACCAAACCAAACCAAGAGATATACATTAAGCTTTCAGCATCTGAGTGTAAGTTCCATCAAGCTTAGACTGTGTGGATTTAGTTAATGTCAGTCAAAATTTTGCCTATATTTTATCCCAATTTATATCTATCTATCTATCTATCTATCTATCTATCTATATATATATATATATATATATATATATATATATATATATATATATATATGGGATAATATATATCTATCTTTTTTTATATATATATCAGCAACAATTATAGCGGGAAGGAGTTTGTCTGACGATCGCTAAAGCGTGAAACCCAGGGTCACAAACTCACATCTATCCAACCAAATATGTTAGCTCTATCTCTGATATTGATCGCTTTCTAATAACTACCGCGCATATAATATATAAATAATTATACATACTTATATTTATTTATATTTATATACACTTTTCACATATATATATATATATATATATATATGTTTTGCGTATATATTCTCACACATACATGCACACACACACACACACACACGCATACATATATATATATATATATATATATATATATATATATATATATATATATATATGGTAATGATACAATATGGTGATCCGTATGGACTTACCGGGAGGTTATAGAACCAGAGAGAGCTCTGTGTCAAAAGACAGAGCAAAGTTATTATTAATTAAATGATGTCAAACACTTAAAATCCCATAGGTAATATTTTTTTTTTAGTTCATGAGAGATTTAAAAAACACCAGCTCTCAATTTTCAAGAGCCACAAACAAATCCCCCCAAATAATTTATTACCTGTAGTATTCTAAGTGTTTAATATTCTTTAATTAATATATATATATATATATATATATATATATATATATATGTAATCACGAATTATAGTTTGGACTGGAATGGTTAATGTAATAATGAAACGAAACTGGGGATGATATATATATATATATATCATTTCAGATATTTAGCTAGCTGCAAACGCAGGGAAAAATCAGAATACAAAGAAATATAACTTTAATTTATTTTTTCTGCCAAAGAATAACAAAGTAAAACATATTTATTCCAGAATCCCCCATCGCATATACTACACGACACACGCACGCCAAAAAAAAAAAAAAAAAAAAATGAAAAAGAAAGAAAAAAATGCCCGAAGCAACAGCCATTTTGCACGAAGAATTTTTCCGAAATGTACTAGCATCTAATATTATTTACAACCGGTAGACATTTTAGATAAACTATTATAGATATTCTTCTTTTTCTTGTTATAATTCTTGATATAATATAAAAAAATATTAATACAAATAGATATATATATATATATATATATATATATATATATATATATATATATATATATATAATGAATAATTCCTCGGGCAGACGTCGCAATGTTTATAAACAATATGGTTGGGACGTTTCTTAGCGACTGAAACATCCAATCTGAGTATGGAGAACTCTGTTGCCAATATTCAGAGTTTATGGTTATTTTTTCTTTAGACAATATATTTTCATGTGCCTTAAGCATTGTATTTACTCAGTAAGTAGAAGAGGCAAGCTTGAATATCGATTTTGCTTTGTTCGTTGCTAAGTATACCTATATCTCACCTTATATTATCTATCTGTTCATACTTATACAACCGTCTCCCCTCCTCTCCACTCACGCTTAATCTAAATGTACGTATAAAATAATAATAGTGATATCACCTATTGATATAGGTACTACTATGTAATTCAAGGTATATAAAGGCAAATTTCTGCCAATAATGTTACCTACGTTTTTGAATGTTTTCTTTTACGGTTTATCAACCTTCTGCGGGTTATTTAAAACCAGAAAATATATTTAGATTGTATTCATTTGTTTTGGAAATGATAACGATTTACTGGCACAAGTCCTACTAATTAATCTATACCTGGCGGAGAAGATGTGGATTCATAGATTCCAGAGGATCTCTGCTCGTAAGTGAATGTAATGAACCCGACTGGAATTCGATCTTGCCTCTCCGATTTCCAATTCCGAGCCCTTGTCCATTACATTAGACGCGCATCGAAGCTTACAGCGCTTGGTATTCCAAAACGGTCACTCAACAAGGTACTGACCATCATCAACGTTGCTTAACTCCAGTGATCGTTATGGAACCGGTGCTTCAACGTGATCTGGCCGTAAGACAATAACGCCTCCAGTAAATACAAGCTTACAGACCGTGTCTATTCCAAAGCGGTCACTCAGCAAGATACTGACCATGATCAACGTTGCTTAACTTCGGTGATCCTAACGGAAACGGTGTTTCAACGTGATTTGGCTGTAAGTCCATTACACCTCCAGTAAATACAAGCTTACAGACCCTGCCATTCAAAAGCGGTCACTCATCAAGGTACTGACCATGATCAATGTTGCTTAACTTCAGTGATCGTTATGGAACCGGTGTTTCAACGTGATCTGACCGTAAGACCATTACGCCTACAGTAAATACAAGGTTACAAACTTTGCTATTCCAAAGCGGTCACTCATCAAGGTACTGACCATGATTAACGTTGCTTAACTTCAGTGATAGTAACGGAACCGATGCTTGAACGTAATCTGACCGTAAGGCCATTATACCACCCGCATATCTACTGTTACAGCACTTAGTGTAAAAGGTCACCCATCTAGGTACTGACCACACTCGACCTTTCTTAACTTCGGTGATCGTACGAGGACCAGTGTTTCAAGGTGATCTGGCCGAAAGCCCATTACACCTCCCGCATATCAAAGCTTACAGCACATGGTATTCCCAAGCTGTTGCCCATCTTGGTAATGATCATGATAAACGTTGCTTACCTTCGGTCATCGTACGGGATTCAACGTGATCTGGCCTTAAGCCCCTTACACCTCCAGTAAATACAAGCTTACAGCACCTGCTATCCACAAGCGGTCATCCATCTAGGGACTGACCAGGTTAAATTTCGGTGATCGTACGAGAACAGCCGTAAGCCCAACACACCGATCGCTTATACACGCTTACAACACGTTATCCCCAAGCTGTCACCCATCTCCAGCCGCGACGTTGCTTAATTTCGGTGAATGTACTAAAACCTATGTTTCAACGTGATCTGGCCGTTAGCCAATAGTTATCAAAGACGATAATCATTGTATCTAAAGTAATTAAATTACGCAATATTTATCGGGGGTCGACTTTGATTTTCGTGATTCTTCCATCGCCAGACCTCAAACAAAAATCTGGTTTATCATAGAATAATTATTTTCTCATTTTATAAAATGCCTATGTCACACGCCTAACAAATTTAAAATTGTTCTACACATTTAGTTGCCATGCTAGTGAGTTATCAACTGAAAATCCACATAGGTCCTGACGAGAGAAAAATTACGAAACTCTGAGTCGACCTCCGATAAGTATTCTGATGTTCTAATGTCTTCACATCTAACATTATTCAAAACCGGTAGATATTTTAGATAAACTATTATAGAAGTACATTTTTTTTGTTATAATTTTTGATATAATAAAAATATGAAGGCAAACACACACACACACACACACATATATATATATATATATATATATGATGTCACACATTATGAAATGGACAAAGTCCGACAATTATTTTAAGACATTTTTATGTTTATACATTCTTTTTTTTATAGATACAAATATTTAAGTAAATGCTCTGTTTTATAATAAACAGTATTACTAACAATTACCAGCCATTATGAAAAATTTCTCGGACATTCAGGCCGATAAATGTTATTAATACTGTTTATTATAACAACAGCTCATTTACTTAAATATTTGTATCTATAAAAAAAAGAATGTATGAAAAAAATAAATATATATATATATATATATATATATATATATATATATATATATATATATATATATATATATATATATATATATATATATATATATATATATATATACAGGGTGTCCATAAAATTTGTGTGGACCTTAAAATTATAACTTTATTTGTATTTGCAATAGAAATAATTTATAAAAAAGGATTAAAAAGAAGTAAATCTATATTTTGTAAGGTTTTATTGAAAATTTATATAAATTCTCCATCATTAGCAATACAAAAAGGTAATACGATTTTGCAGTTCACGGAAAACATTTGCCAACTGATTTACAGTAATGCCTGAAATCACATTAGTTATTTTAGCTATACTTAAAACTAGGTACATTAAACTTTATAACATTTTTTACAGATTATTTCTATTGCAAATACAAATAAAGTTACAGTTTTTTAAAGTGCACTCGAACTATATGGACACCCTGTATATATGTTTGTATTCACACACACACACACTTATATATATATATATATATATATATATATATATATATATATATATATATATATATATATATATATATAGATGCATGTTTCATTAAAACGACAGACAAGGTACTACAGTTAAGTTTTTTTTCTTGTGTTCGGACAAGGGCTTTCTTTTTCTGGACAAAGATGGAAGCTTTAATAATAAAAAAGAAAAACTCAAATTTTACCATATTAACTACGAACAAGGCCAGAATGTGCTAACCGTATTCGGAAATGGAAACATCCCTACCACACACTAAAGCATACACATAATGCACACACTCAATTAAAGTGAAAAATCGAGTCATCCATGATAATGGTTAATGGTATAGCTGAAAGCGTGTGTAAATATAAAAGTGAACATAGAAGTCAACACTTAGAGGCGACAGTCCGTTTCATGCTATATGCTATGACGGTTGCATATAGCATGAAACAGACTGTCGCCTCAAAGTGTTGACTTTATGTTTACTTTTATATATATATATATATATATATATATATATATATATATATATATATATATATATATATATGTCTATATTTCTGAGATGAGGTATTATTTATATTATTCGGCCTTTTGTCCTTATCTTTGTCGCTATATTTCTTACAACGTTTCGGCCGTTGTACGCTCCGGCCTTCTTCACTTGGTTGGAATGTCGAACTGAACCCTTTATTTCGCTCACTGGGGTAGACTGGGGTAGACTGTTCTAGTTCCACGTGCCATGACAGTTATCAGTTATCTCATGTTAATTTCCCTCTGAACGTTCTCCACTGTCTTAACCGGATAATGAACTCACACTCT